CTTCATCCCAAGTTAAGCAACCATTGTCATCACAGGATACCAGTGTTGAGGCCAGATCATGAGCACTGCATATCCTTCTCCAAATATTGGAATCAGTCACCTTAGGTACCATATTATCTCCTCTACTGTATTTTGATTTGATAAAATTGACCCAAAAACTATCTCATGTCTTCCATTTCCACCACAGCTTAAGAGTGAATGCCTTCTCAATGTCTGTGAGTGATCTAAACCCCAGACCTCCTTCCAAAGTTGGTAAACATAGTTTTGACCACCTAATCCAGTGGTGCTTATCCTTGTTATTAGAAGATCCCCAAAAGAAAGAAGACATTTTACCATTGAGGATCTTAATAACCTTCTTAGGAATTCTGTCAATCGCCAATGTATGCATAGGAATAGAATTAAGAACATATTTAATGAGAGTTAGTCTTCCACCTTGAGAAAGGTTCTTCTGCTTCCAAGGGGTTAATCTATTCTCAAACTGTTTGATAATATGCCCACAATAGTTAAGTCTATTAATGCCTTTATGCAGATTCACCCCTAGGTATTTAATAGGAAGGGGAGAGACCTTCATCCCCAAGATATCTTTAATAGCATTACTTCTTCTGGAAATAGACTTACCACAAACAATGGAACTTTTTTCAAAGTTGATTTCCTGGCCTGAAGCTTGTTGATAATCCTTAAGGAACTTCTTAAAATTCACCAATGATCTAGCCTCTCCATTCAGGAAAATAAGCAAATCATCTGCAAAGCCTAGATGAGAAATAGGAAATCCCTGATTTCCCATCCAGAAAGGTTTAATCCTGCCATCTGCCATTATCTTATTTAAACCCCTGGAAAATACTTCTGAGGCAATAATGAATAAGAATGGGGATAAGGGGTCCCCTTGCTTGACTCCTCTAGAAGGTTGAAAGTAGCCATGTGGTGTGCCATTGATAAGCACATATAGAAATGTGGATTTAAGGTTATTCATAATGATATGAACCAGCCTCTTAGAGAACCCAAACTGAATCATAACTCTGGTCAAGAATTCCCAAGAGACTTTGTCAAAAGCCTTTGCCATGTCCAACTTGACTATTACATTTGACCCTCTTACCTTTTTGTCAATGCAATGTACCATCTCCTGAGCTATGAGTATCTGATCTGAGATATCTCTGTTAGCCATAAAACCTGCTTGTTCCTGTGATATAATCTTAGGCAGAACTTGCTTTAGCCTTGAGGCCAAAATCTTAGTACAGATTTTAATTGAGAAATTGGACAAACAAATAGGCCTGAAGTTGCTAAAAGATGAGGGGTTGTCTGATTTAGGTATGAGAACAAGTTGAGAACTAGATAATCCTTTAGGGATATGGTGCCCCGTAAAGAATTCCTGAGTAGCCCTGAGAACATCCATACAGATTATATTCCAACATTTCCTATAAAACTTACCATGAAAGCCATCAGGTCTTGGAGCACTGTTCTGACTTAAATCCCACACTGCATTCTTCACTTCTTCCAAAGTAGGTATTTGAGTTAGCATACAGTTGTCTTCTTGTGTTATAAGTTCTGGAATATTGTTTATTAACTCCATATTGACTTCAGTTTCTTGCCCTGTGTATAGGTCAGAAAAGAATTTAACTGCAGCTGTTCCAATATGAGGATTAGATGTTGCCAAAATTCCATCCTTGTCCTTGATGGAGGTAATACATTGTTTTCTCTTTCTTATCTGCACAAAAGAATGGTAGAACTTACTATTACAGTCTCCTTCCTTCAACCAGTTTAAATGAGCCTTCTGCTTCCAGAATTTTCTTTCCAAGTTGTATTTTTGAGTGAGAAGACTCTTTTTGTGGAACCAGTTCTCCCTGTTGATATCACTAGGATTACTTTCAAACTCTTTTTCAGCCTCCAAAACTTCATTTTCACACCTTTTGATGTCATCAAAGATATTTCCAAAAATATCCTTATTCCAAACCCTTAACTCTTTCTTCAGACATTGCAACTTTCTCACTAAACCCCTCATACCTCCTCCTGTCTGGATTGAGCCCCACCTATCTTTCACAAAGTCCATAAAGGAATTATGTTTCAACCACATATTTTGGAATCTAAATGCTTTAGGTCCAGATGAACCAGTGTTAGAACACTGTGTGAGAATAGGAGAATGATCAGATTGAGAGCTATTGAGAATAGAGATTTTGATATTATCAAAGGTATCCAGAAATTGCTTATTAAAAAGGACTCTATCCAATCTTCTCCATACTCTCCCATTTGATCTATTTCCTGTCCAGGTATATAGAGGCCCATCACAAGGAAGGTCAATAAGATTACAGGCAGATAAGCAATCAGAGAACTCAGTCACCCCTCTGGTAAGGAAGTCCCTTTATGCTCACTATATTTAGCAATTTCATTAAAATCCCCTCCCACAATCCAAGGATCTGTAGTATTATGAGATTTGATAATCAGAGCATCCCAAAGTTCCCTCTTGATGGTATAAATATGTCTGCCATATATTCCAGTAGCCCATCCTGTAAATAAACTACCTTTAATCCTGCAATGAACATATTGAGTATGTCATGTGAAATCTGACAGACCCATTTGGGAAGTATCCCAGAAAATCCAAATTTTGTTAACATTTGAACAAGCTGCCCCATCAAAACCCAAAATCTTCTTGTATTTTTCAATCTTAGAGCAATCTGACATAGGTTCAATAACAAACACTAAATGTACCCTCCATTGTTTGACCAGGGAAAGTAGCCTAGAACTGGAGGACTCCAGGCCCCTGGTGTTCCAGAATAAACAATTCATGGAGATGTTGGTTGGGCTTCCTGCCCCCTAGTCACACTTCTGGTATTTCTCTTCATGTGATTATCTTCCACAACTTTCTTTTTTTTTCCTTTTCTTGTGATTTTGGTAAATGTTTCCTCATCCCGTTGGTCTTCAGGATCATTACTGCTATGGTGCTGCAGATTTTCTTCTCCTGCCTTCATCTGGACTATAAAGTCCACTCCCTTACAGATTTGAGGCCAGTCATCAAGAAAAGTGTCTGTATTGACAGGTATGTCAAGCTCCCCATCTGAGTAGTAATCCCTGCTTTGTTTATCAGGCTCCTCCCCTATTGTTTTATCAAGCTCCTGAATGAAAATATCATCTTTAATACCTTTTATTTCCTTAGGATCAGAGTGAATGATCCCAGAAATGTTTGATTTAAGCAGCTCTTTAATTTGATTCCTAATCTCCATGGCAGGTTGCTCCAGTGGATCCAAGGAGACTTCTTCTTCCTCATCTGAAGAGATTTCATGTCTAAAACCCTTAGATGAAGATTGAAAATTTGTATCTAATTTTTCCACAATTTTTCCTTTGCCTTTTTGTGCCCATGTCAGTTTTGTAATCTGTTTGTGTGCTTGCTCTTTCTTTGCTTTTTGTATATGCCCCTGATCTGAGTCCAATCCTTTAATCTGATCAACCTTTTTCTTAGGACACTTTTGATGAGTATGACCTAAGTGAAGGCAAGCCGTGCAATAGTCTGGTCTGTTTTCATAGACCACTGACTGAGAAAAACCTGATGAGCCGCAATTAATCCAAACCTTTTGGGGCATCTCCTTAGTGAGATCAAGCTCCACACATATTCTAGCAATGGCTGGCCTAGATAGGGCAGCTGTTGCTGAATCTGTTTTCAGAGGCTTACCAATAAGCCTAGCAATGTCAAAAAGAGCCCGTTGATCTTGAAGATGAATAGGTAGACCTTCTAGTGATATCCACACCGGAACCACCGGTGATTCAACGTTAGGCCTAAACTCCGGAGTCCACCTAGTTACTCGCATAATATGCCCTTGAATAGACCACGCCTGTCTATTCCAACATCTGATAAAGTCTTCCTCCATCTCAAACCTAATGAGAACGTGTTTAGGATCCAGGACTCCGAGATGGAAAGCCCCCTTAAAACCAATAATTTCAAACGCCTTACGAATCACCAATAAGCTGGGCTTTCCTTTGAAAAAATAACCTATTAACGCACGCTTATGCTTTTCCGCTAACAAGTTAATTTCCCCTTCTGTAAAACTGATCGCCGACATCCCTTTGAACCTCGAAGGGATTTTTTCCTTCAAAGACACTGGCCGATCTGCCACCACATCTGCGAAAGATTTGCCCGACCAAGCACGACCAACCCCTGGTGGATCCGCCGCCACCGCCGCCATCAAACGAAAGCTTGACCTTAAATAAACACTCCCTTGTTGGGCCATTTTCCCTGCTTGTTCTCCATATACTTGTCCACCTTCCACTCGAAACCCCTAGGTTCCACTCCTAACCGAGATCAGGATGAGTAAGTACTGTGCCGATTTGAACCGAGAATGGTATTCCAGTTTCAGTACATCCAGGACTGGGTACCCGACCGGGTATGCGGCGGGGCCGGTCTCGGTTACACAAAGCGGAGATCGAGACTGAATTTTTGTGTGGTAAGAATGAATTGTAGTTACACAATATTACCAAATATGATATGAGACAAACTTAATGAGACGGACGAAAAAGATAAAACGAGATAAAGTTAGAGGGACATACGGAGTAATATCCGAGCCAAATCCTTTCATTTACCCTTTTTTTTGACAACCAATACTCTGCCGTCCGCCAACAATAATCCCAACTATTGATTATTTTTGTATAATTTCAACTATATGGACCGTCTGCCAATATTGGTCCATGACCGCATATTACCTGCTCTAACAAGTGATTTTTTAATAGAAATTAAGCGTAAAAATTAAAATTTGGGATTATTTATAGGGATTACCTGCTATATGTCTTTAGAAATTATAGAAATTTATTTATAGTCAGTCAAGTCGGACCATTATTGGCGGAAAGTCCCTAAAGTTAGGATTATTCTTAAATAATCGATAGTTGAGATTATTATGAGCGGACCGCCAATAGTTGAAATTATTACCATCATTTTTTTCTACTTTCATTTAGCTTCAAAATTAGAATAATAATTAAAAAAATACGAGAATAATAATTCCACAAATTCAAAAATACCTACGGTGCTATCCCAAGTAAAGGCGGTCGTAATATCACTCCTTAGAAGGGTTAAACAGCCGCAGAGCCTTTTGGGACTACGACTCTACGAGGCCATGATGCCTCCGGCGGCTTCATTCCCGGTTTACGCTCAACGTTCCACCGCCGACTCTTTTCATAACCGACTCATCGACATTGTAAAAGTTGCTCTCATCAAAATTTTCGTATCTCCTTACGCCACCGTTAGTACCCCATTCTATCTCTGATAAACACACTCAATGCACATGGGCGCATGCTTTTTGAGCATTGTTTTCATGTTTTTTAATAATGATAACTGTTATCAATCTAATTATATGTAGGTGTGTGAATTGTACTGTGGAAAAGTTCCTAATGAAGAAAAGTGGGATGAGTCTCAAATTGGCCACTACATTGGTTTTGGTATGACCGTATTTCTTTGGATTGGTCATTTTCTGTCGGGTTTATAAGAGCCGGATCATATGAATTAGACTCCTAAAGTGTGAGTTATTTATGTATTGGGGTTTTTTCACATGGTTGCAGATGTAGCGGCATCTGGTGTGAATGAAAAAAAGGAAGCATGGGAGAGTCAGCGCAAATTTTACGTAACTGAGTTGTTTGAGCTTGACCCTTGCACTGTAAGGACGGACCTTTATGTGTGCTGTGTGCATGCTTGTTTATGTAGCCATGTACTCATGTTAATCTCCTTCTTTTTATGGACGAGTTCTATTTGGATGTGGATTAGGGAATCTTTCTAGGGCGGGCGTGAGTTTCTCCCTACACTGTCTTGGTTAACAATTTTGGGTTTTTAATAAGGTTTCATCTTTTGGGACTAAGGCTTGGATTTTGTTGTTGAATAAGGTTTCATCTTTATGTGTGTGTCAACAATGCAGCCCATTATTTCTATTGCATCTGTTTGAGGAGCAGATATTTTTGGCTTTAAAACAACAGAGAGATTGAAACCGGGAGTGAGGGAAATGGGTTACATTGATTTTCTTCAGCTTTGATCTAATGTGTGAACTGAAGGAAGCATCAACAACAACCTTTCTTGGTGTAGTTAAAATCAGATGTTGATGTTTCTCTCCTACGAGTTTGTGTGTTAGGGGTGGTCTGTTTTGGCAGAATTTCACTGCTGTTATTACACATTGCACAAATTCATTAGTTCCAATTCCCTTAATTCAGAACAATGAGAAAAGTTCATAAAAAGTTAATCCCCTTCTTGTTTCCATCATTCCTATGTGATTTTTCATTGCCATAACCAGTGCTGGATGCAGAAATTCCCAACTGGAGGGGCGGTAGTGTAAAATTATACATACTAATACATACTACGGTTACTTAAAAGTACAAAACATTCATATGTTAGAAATCATAACAATTGATAAGATAAAACTATACAACAACAATATTACCCCAATGCCGCAAAGCCTCCCACCTGCAATGGGGTTAGGGGGGTTTCGATGTACACATCCTTACCCCTGTACCCAATGCCGCAAAGCTTCGTAGCAAAGAAGTGCAGACAGCTTAGTGAGCCATTTTGCTTTATTCCATCATATTTCCAAGCCAAAATATAGTGAGTCTTTGGCTGCATTGGAAATGATGGAAAAAGATAAAACTATAACTCAAATAAAATAAATTTGAAGAAAGAATTTCTTTTGATTTGATACAACACCAACACCCAAACTCAAGCCTTATTCCCAAAAGAGTGAGTTCACAAGGTCATCAAGAGAATTTCATTTTACCCATTGATTGTCCAAATACAATACTGCTATCTAATACTTTTAAGTTTTAGTCATACAATACTGCACTGTAACTTTTGCTCTACTTAAACTACACGGTTGCAAAGAAAATAAAATATTTACACTATACCAAATTTTTAAAGCAGCTCTTACATTCTTGTAAAAATAGAACTCTAATGGAAGAAGTGATCTTTTCCTGACAACCAACCTTGTGGGGAATTTTCATCGAATCACCTATATCAAGAAAAACAAAGAAAATAAGAATTTTTTTCTTTGTTTGACAAGTGAAATCACAATGTTAGCAAATGAAAATTGTGGGTGTTTTATACTCCGTATGTTGTGATCACACAAACTTGCTCCATAACTTAGCAAAGGAATGGTTTTTTTGACTGGAAAATGATCATACTTTATTAACTTAAATGAACCAGGACTTTTACAATCAACAAACACGCCAAGGTATCACTCCTTCCAGACTCATAATAGCCATAAGACCCCCTCACTCCTTGATCAGACATAGAAAGATCAACCCATACTTGAGCATCACCTTTTCGCTAAACATTCGAGAGATTTGAAGCAAGGTTGTTAGGATCGCGATCTAACTTGTAGGATTGTACGATTTTATGATGAGAATAGGGAGTTGCGAGCTGGATCGCTGTTAGAGTGCTAGGACCGGGAAAAGGCCTGGGATCATCAGATCGACTAGTAGAATCGTAACTCGTCCGATTCTGTGATCTACCTGAGTTGCGACTTCGAAGCTAAAAAACGGGAAAGAAGTCGCAGAATGACAAGTTAAAAAAACATTGCGACTAAGGATGAATGAAGCCCTGGCGCCACCTGCTTCAACCTTAATCTTCCCAGCTTCTTGCGCTTTAAATCAATCTTCTTGCTTCGTTTTCTTCATCTCTTCTCTGCTCTATGTCTTTCGTCCGCTTTAGTTGTTCTGGTAGTTCCAATTTTAATCTTTTGGGACTGCTTTTTATTGTCCTGAAGCTACCGAGTAGCGACTAGGTCATGGCAAGTGGGTCAAATGATGGATGATTTTATATTAAGATAGATATTTTGTTATGTCAAATGTTTTGGAGTTTACCTTTGATCTTTTTATCTCAAATGTTTTGTAATTTATCTTTCAATTTGTTATGTCAAGTGTTTTATATTATTGCCTTGAGCCTTGACATTATTATTTTATTAATAATTAATTTATTACTCCTATTGTTAATTATTAATATTAATTATAAATGTTAATTGAGTGCTTAATAATTAATATATATATATATATATATGTGTGTGTGTGTGTGTGTGTATTGCACCGTAAGATCTTACGATCCGATTTATGATCTCCTAGACCCCTTTCGATCCGTGCTAGAATCTCGAGTTTAACAACCTTGATTTGAAGCAACTATCTCCATTAAAAGCTACAATACATCTTCCCAAATAAGCAAACCTAACAACCCCCACAAGACTCAAAGATAAGATCAGAATTCGAAAACAAAAACTACGCAAGACATAGAAAAGACCAACATTGAATCGAAAACCAAAATAAGCAATAGGATAATTTTCATGAATTCTAGCAGTATTTAAGATGGGGTATTTAACACATGTTCTTCTCTCTTTTCTGAGAGCAATAGGAAGGTCAAAGTTGCTAGAAGTATTACCTTTTTCACTTCCTGACATTGAGGCAGAATCATGGACAGTTGTAGGTTCTTGGACTTCCTCTATTCTTTGATTTCTAACCCTTCTCTCATAAGTTTTTTCAAAGAACTGACTTGTCTGTTGATCCTTTTCAATTGGTTCAGTTGGATTTACTTCATTATTTTTTATTCCTTGATCATTTTCAGGTGTACTGATATTTCTAAAGAAATTATCATCCTGATTAATATCAAGAAAATTAAAATTTTCATGAATATTTGGCATTATTGGAACATCTTCACTTAATTTCTCCTCTATTTCACCAGTTATGTACATTAGCTTGCCCCTTCCATCAATAGCCAACTTGACAGACTGTGACCACTCGAGATAATTTGTGCCATTCAATCTATGGCCAGTAATGAGCATAGATGAATGGACTGAGTTCTGGTAGTTTGTCATTGAGCTATTTGGAGAGTTAGGGTTATGGGTTTGTGAGTGGGAAGAAGAGTCAGATTGTTCCGTTTCCACCATTGTGGTGTTTAAACAACCTGCTCTGATACCATGTAAGTTTTAGGAATAAAACTTCCTTAAATATTATTGAGCCATCCGGCAATGATATATATACAAGTTACAGATAAAGTCAAGTTGTTACAGATCCTAAAATATAGGATCTATCTATTCTATCTATTCTGTGAGCTTATCTACTAATTAGAGAGTTCTATCTACTCTAATTCTTATCTATACAATCCCGGATGTACAAGTAATTAAAATAACAAGTATATGTTACATTTTTCTACAAAACCAGTTTAAATACATCATTGTTTCTGCCTACCTTCTCTACAGGGAAATACTATTTTATCAATAGCATTGCAATGGAATAACTATATCAGTAGCATAAAAAGAGTATATATAAACAGATATCTAAAACCAAATCTATTGAGTTTTAGCCTCTATTATATATCCTCATAATTTGTTTCCTTTCAATATTCCTCTATGTTTGGATTTTGATTGTTTTCCCTGGTATATTCTGCAAAAGAGAAGGTATAAGACAATATCCGAAAAGCATTCATATATATACTCGGGAAATTGCAGCGAACTTACCGGATTCTAATCTCTTCGCCATTGTATCTGATATAGAGTATAAAATTGTATTATTCATTTATTCAAGCCGAATAGCATGTATATGTTTTTCAAATACATAATTTGAAAAATTAAACATATACCAATAAGCGAATAGGTCTGATTGGATCATATAAATCAGTATATAGCTGAGCAAAAACTAAAAGCACTCTTAGTTTTGCTACCATTCCAGTAAAAATCCAAAAACAGAAGTGTATAGTATTTGCAGTCTATTCACGTTATAGTCTTTTAGTTTTGGTTTACAAGGTCCTAAAAAACATGAAGCATACAAGTATACAACACTAACTGCTACTTCAAAAAATACTGGTAAACGGTAAACCAAAAAAGTGGAATTACTATTGTTCAATATCCTGATATGCATTATCTTTGTATATAAGAAAAAAACATAAGCATGCATAACCTCATAAAAATTAAAAGAAAAAAACTACAACACAGGATATGCATGAATTCTAGAGTGACAAAGAGATGAGAGAAGATGCCTACCTTAGAGGTGTAGGCCTACCCCTATCATCCTTAGGCTGGCTTGTGAGCTGAATAGCAATACTCTGCTTACAAAATCCATGTGAAAACATTATCATAGAAGAATATAGTTCATAATAATCCAAATAGAAAATAAGAACAAGAATAGAAAAAAAGGTGATACTCTCAGATCGCAAGTCAACTATATTGAAGAAGAATATCCGATAAAATCCAACAATAAGAAAAAAACGAAAAAAAAAACATCTAAACCATTACATTCCTTTATTTGTTTGAAGTTCTTGAAGAAGGATAAGGAATTAAGGATAATGGCAGGATTATTAGAGTTGGTTTGTTTGAAGAAAAGAAATATTTGTTGTTCTGGTTGAAGTGTGAAGAGAAAAACGATGGTGAAGATTAGCTTGAAGAGAGAACGAAGAAGATAGTAACAGAGGATATAAGGGCATCATCATCATCACCATTACCCCAGTGCCGCAAAGGCTCCCACTTACGGTATAAGACAATATCCGAAAAGCATTCATATATATACTCGGGAAATTGCAGCGAACTTACCGGATTCTAATCTCTTCGCCATTGTATCTGATATAGAGTATAAAATTGTATTATTCATTTATTCAAGCCGAATAGCATGTATATGTTTTTCAAATACATAATTTGAAAAATTAAACATATACCAATAAGCGAATAGGTCTGATTGGATCATATAAATCAGTATATAGCTGAGCAAAAACTAAAAGCACTCTTAGTTTTGCTACCATTCCAGTAAAAATCCAAAAACAGAAGTGTATAGTATTTGCAGTCTATTCACGTTATAGTCTTTTAGTTTTGGTTTACAAGGTCCTAAAAAACATGAAGCATACAAGTATACAACACTAACTGCTACTTCAAAAAATACTGGTAAACGGTAAACCAAAAAAGTGGAATTACTATTGTTCAATATCCTGATATGCATTATCTTTGTATATAAGAAAAAAACATAAGCATGCATAACCTCATAAAAATTAAAAGAAAAAAACTACAACACAGGATATGCATGAATTCTAGAGTGACAAAGAGATGAGAGAAGATGCCTACCTTAGAGGTGTAGGCCTACCCCTATCATCCTTAGGCTGGCTTGTGAGCTGAATAGCAATACTCTGCTTACAAAATCCATGTGAAAACATTATCATAGAAGAATATAGTTCATAATAATCCAAATAGAAAATAAGAACAAGAATAGAAAAAAAGGTGATACTCTCAGATCGCAAGTCAACTATATTGAAGAAGAATATCCGATAAAATCCAACAATAAGAAAAAAACGAAAAAAAAAACATCTAAACCATTACATTCCTTTATTTGTTTGAAGTTCTTGAAGAAGGATAAGGAATTAAGGATAATGGCAGGATTATTAGAGTTGGTTTGTTTGAAGAAAAGAAATATTTGTTGTTCTGGTTGAAGTGTGAAGAGAAAAACGATGGTGAAGATTAGCTTGAAGAGAGAACGAAGAAGATAGTAACAGAGGATATAAGGGCATCATCATCATCACCATTACCCCAGTGCCGCAAAGGCTCCCACTTACGGTGTGGTTGGGGGGGGGTCGGATGTAAGTAGTCTTACCCTAGTTTCCGGATGACCCGACCCTAATCACTAAAATGTAAATGCTTCTCTCCCCAGTGTTTCATTTTTCAGCTTCTTGGGATCTATCAGCCAAACCTACCAGCCAATAACCAAACCGTATTTTCAGCTACTTATGGTCAAAGAAGCTAAATATTTGGCTGATCAGCCATTTTTCCAACAGGGCCTTAATTTTGTATGCTTTGTATTTTGCTAAATGACAGCAAATCCATTTTGCAGGAAGATTTGAAAACATATCTTCTGGATAAAGACACACAGGCTGATATTGTTTTCTGCATGCACAATTTTCAGGTTCAATACTCTGTCTTCTGAAAATGTGATATATGAATTTTCATATCTTCTGAAAATTCGAGACAGATCTCCTGTGTTTGCAGTTGTGTTTTGAAACTGAAGCAAAAGCGAGGAAGCTTTTGCATAGTGTATCATCTTTGTTGAAACCTGGGGGTTATTTTCTTGGCATCACAACTGACTCATCTACTATATGGTACATCACTTAACTGTAATTGCTTCTTATTCAATTTATTATTGCTTGTTTATTGTGTATGCGCATGTTTTTGTCTAGACCTTATTGTTATGCTTCCATTTCTTTTAGAATCTTACCTGGATCATTCGGTTGACAAGACTGTTGTAATGGTATTCTGAAAGTGCTTGCCGGGCTCAATCGTTGATCAAGCCTTGGGGCTCTAGCGCCTTGGCGAGGCATATCGTGACCTTGCTCATGAGTCAAGACTGATTCATTTCTTGAAAAGAAAAAATATCATGTTATTTATACTTCGATAGGAATCTGAATCTTTTTGAATTTTAACCATCCAAGAATTTCAGGGCAAAGTACCAGAAGAACGTTGAAGCTTGCCACCACAAGGGCATTGGAATGAAGCCTAACAGTGTCCCCAATTGCATTAGATCTGAGAGTTACACAATAGCTTTTGAAGTCGAGGAAGAGAAGTATGTATATTATTCAGGGATTCATTACGTTTACTTTTTTTTCTATTTCTTATGTAGAATTTGTTTACTACAATTTTTTGTGCAGGTTTCCTTTTTTTGGAATGAAGTACCAGCTGAAGTTTGCAAATGATATCTCTGCTGAAACACACTGTCTGGTTCATTTCCCAAGCTTGATAAGGTTCTGCTTGGTCTAACATCCCATGCTGAACATACCTATGTGTTTGTCCTGTCATTGATAAGTTACAGACCAATTCACAGCAATTCCAGAGAACTAACTATGGAGAAATCAAGATACCTAACGATGGAGTTGTTCGTATAACAGAAAGTATATAGAGAGAAATACAAAGGCAGTTTAAGAATGCCAACTCTCCAAGTCCCAAAGCCCAAATGATAATTCCCACCTCCCTTCTATTCTACCCTCACCCTCTATTTATACCAACTATTCTAATATTATTATTACTCTTATTTATTATTATTATCAGTGCTATTCTGCCAGAGTCCTATCATATCTCCCCCTTGAACATCCACCTTGTCTTCAAGGTGGGTGATAGGAAATCGCCTTGATCTTTAACTTTATCTTCATCCTGGCGCCTCTCCCTTCCCAGTACCTCACTGACTTCTGGACTTGTAGCTTCAATCCTTCAACCTTCATCTTCAAGTTCTGCCTTTTAGGATCATCACTTCCTCCAAGTAAAACCTGCCTCTCATTGCTATCATCACCTTGGAAGATTATTCCTACTTCCCAGTGTCTTCCTGGTTGTTTATCAACTCTTAGACCCTTCTCCACATCGTTTTCATTGCTTGGAACATCACACTTTGATCTGTTTCTTTCTAGATCACACTTTTCATCAGCGCCGTTGAAGAGTCTTGAGTCAGAGTTGATACTTCTTCCGGATATGAAATTCTTGAGATACATTGAAACTCTTGGAATGCCTTATTATCTCCCCAATCTCCTGAGTAATAAAGATGTAGCATTTCCTTTACAAAAATAGGACCAAGAGCTCAGGCCAGAAGAAAAAACATTTGGATTCAGTCTCAAGACAGCATGAGTAAAAAAATCCATCAATGTCGTCATTAAAAAGTGTCGTTGACACCAGTAGGTCCTGGTAGATGATCAATGAATAGTAATTCGTGTTCTCAACACCAGATTCTAACACCCAGATGCTTGAATGAACTTCAAGAACACCCTCTCCCAATAGTCAACATATTTCGTCGTCATTACCCCAGTGCCGCAAAGGCTCCCACCTATGGTGGGGTAAGGGAGGGCCGGATGTACGCAGTCTTACCCCTGTTCTAAAGCACAAAGAGACCGTTTCCGGATGACCCGTAGTGAACTTCGCGTCGGAAATTGCATGGACTGACGACTGCTTCATAACAAAGAAGCGTAGGCAGTTTAGTGAGCGATTTTGCTTTATTCCATCATATTCTCAAGCCAAAAAATAGCGAGTCTTTGGCACCATTGCAAATGAGTCTTTGGCTCCAATAGTCAATATATTTGAAGAACCAAAATCATTCAATCCTTGTTGCTGATGCTGGAGGCTGGATGAATCAAGGTAGGATCTAACAGTTCCCCTGTAAGGGCCACTAATACGAAAAAGGCATCCAACTGCTGGGCTTCTAGCCATAGAATAAGAATTTGCCAAATCAGGATCATTCAACAAGAGTAACATCTGAGAGATCAATGTAAACATTGGAAGTCCTTCCATTATAGGCTTGAGGTCAACAGGCAGCATTTTAATATTTCTCCCTTTAGTCTGTGTGATCACCAAGAATGGGAGAAAGAGTTTCTCATAGCAATGGAAGTCAAACACCTTACCCCTACGAACCCAATAGTCCAAATCTATACCTGTTTCTTGATTAGGTATACTAACTGTTGGCATTCTCTTTACATTTTCACCAACTATCAAGGCCTCTGGGATGATAGCAGGATTGATTCCATTGTCAAACATCAGAAACATGTCAACATAACCATCATTAGGATCATCAACCTTTTTCTTCCAATTTCCATTAGTTCCTACCTCCAATCTATCTTGAATGTTCTTAATACAAGTAACATCATCAAATCTGAAGTCATCAATCTTATTCAGCCCTTTCAAAATTCTCTTTGATCAATGAAGGTGCACAATATCCCCTAGAATCCCTAACTCACGTGCTTGAACTCTACCCAACAAAGATTTAAAATATTCTGGGTTCCTATCCAGTACAAGAGCATACCTCTGACCCTCATAGGTAAGGATAGATGTGCAGTACAGGCCCTCCTCATCAGCTCCTGTGGCAATGTTGTTCAGTTCCAAGACAGGATCAGTGTGGTAGATACAAATTCCTTCCTGAATGTAGGGAATGTTAGGTTTGAGCGGTACGGACTCGTCCAGATTATCTGGTGAATATCCCGACTGATTAGTATCCTTGTCTGAATCTGATTCCTGAACTGAGGGTTCAGCCGGATTCCATTCAAAATTTGGTGTCGTCAATGAAATCCCCAGCGTAGAATCTTGAGCCGACTCGGAAACCTGCGATGAAACTTGAGATGATGATTGATGATGCTCTGTTAGTAACGGCGAACTGGTAGAAACAGTTAGCGCCTGAGACGAAGCTTGCGAACTTAGCGAAGCAAGTCGCAACGAACTCTGCGAAGTTGATGAACTCTACGAATGTTGAAGAGCGGTTTGCGAACTGTTCTTGCTTTTGGAGTTCCGGCAGCGCTTTATGGTCCTCGACTGATAGAGACCTACTTATTAGAATAATATTAGAAGTAATAATAATAATATTAGTAATAAGGGTCTCTAGTATAAATAGATGGGAAGGGGAAGTAGTAAGGGGTTTTTGGATTCTTTTGGACTGGGACTGGGAAAGATTAGAGAGTTATTCTCTTCTCTTTTGGGAGGCTTCGGCCTTAGTTACTGTGCTTCTCTGTGTAACCGATCTTCTTCATCAAATAAGAATTCAGTTTGGTTTTCTTGTTAATCTACTGTAATTGTTCTGTACTGGTGAGGTCTCTAACATTGGTATCAGAGACTGCTACGATCGCTGGTGTGGAATATTTGTCGCTAAAAGAAATCTGTGGCAGATGGAGAAGAACCAAGAAAAGATCGAACAAAATCAACAAGCATTTGATGATTGGGTTGCGGAGATGTGGAGTAAAATAAACAAGATCGGTCATCAACCTCGCAGGCGAACTAGAGAGCGAGCGCAAAATGTCCCTTCTGATTCGCAGTCGCCAAAGGTTTCGCGCGAAAAAATGGAGAAGATCGCGGAAAAGGTGGAGCCCGGAAAACTAGCGAAGGAGAAGCATACGAAGAGCAAAGAAAAGGTAGAAAAGAATGGGGCGAAGGAAAGGAGGACAGGATTGGAGGAATCGCAAACTGTTTCGCACTCGAGAAAGGATTGGCGCGGAAAATTGGGGAAGCTCGTAGAAAAGGTTGAGAGCGGGAAAGTGGAGAAAGAGAAGCGCTCAACCCTAGCAAAGGAAAAGCGCTCAAACATGGAGAAGGAGACGAGCTCAAAACCAGAGAAAGAGAAGTCCTCAAACCTGGAGAAGGGGAAGCCCAAGCTGCGACAAAAATGTCGTAGGCGAGGACGGTCAAGGACTGTGCGTCGCTGCTTGAATTCGAAAAGCAAATACACTTCTCAGTCACAAGATACTTCTTCCGGACCTCTGGTTTTGACTAGAGCAGACAAATCCAGTTCGAAATCTCTATTTGAATTTCCAGAGTCGCAGCAGAATTTAGTTATTCAGCAGCACACCTATGGAGAAGAGGAATTCAGTGATAAACCATCGGTTAATCTTGAACCTGAAGATGGAACAGTTGGATTTTCCAGAAGTAAGATGTTTTCCAAGTACGATCTTGACCAGTCAGACCTTGAAACCAATAGGTTCAAGCTTCTTCAGGTATGCGATATTTCTTCTCATCTTGCACAGAAGAGGAACTGGCCAAATGACTGCAAGACTGAAATGATGTATCGCCAGTCATCAAACATTGCGTTGGAAGGATTGAACATCGTTTCTATTGTTAATTTGGTTCTCCAACCATGTCCATTGGGAACTTCTGAAACTGGGTTACTTAAAATCGAGGACATAATTTTAGGGAATTCATGCCTGGAACGAAAGAGATCTGGTCCAGTGGTTCTTAAGGATCGGGTTCATCTTTTTTCTTGGGAATCATATGCCATTATTCAAATTGGGGTAGTGATGATTTCACATGTAGGTCTTCTAAATTGGAGGGAGGGTGTGAGCAGAGGAAGGCTTGCTAATGCTGACAAAGAGGGGCTGAAATAGCAGTACCTAATCAGAAATTGATTGCTGAGAAGCATCTTATCATCATGTTTCAAGCAATTTTGAAACCCAAAATTGAAGAGGGACTTTCTAACCATTATAATTCAAGGGATCAGCAATACTATTCCCCAGTTGTTTCCTTTGTTCTTGTGAATCTGAAGGGAAGGGATCCAAGTACCCTTGATTCCTCTACCAATTTGTGGGTTGGCTTTTTAACAGGAGCACTCAGAATTTCAGATTCTTTAAATGAGAAAACAGTGGAAAATTTTGTGGAACAACATAATGAAGCAAATGAAAAAGTGAAATTAGAACAGGGTTGGAAAATGGCCATGTCGTTTACTGGTGATAGATCTGTCTACGTGCAAGAAAACCAATTTTGGAACTTTTGCATGGATAATAGGCTTTCCTGTTCTTCAGTTAGGAGAAAGGCAACTGGAATAGTGGATATCCTCACCTACCTGCTAAAACCTTTGAGGTTTTCATTCTCAAATAAGTTGGCTACTGAAGATGCTGAAATTTCAAGGAGTGAAGCAACTGAAATTCAAAGATTTGAGTTATATCCTGTAGCAAGAGCTATGAGCACATGGAAGAATGATCAAGGGATGGTGGGTGAAGATCAATACCAGCATGATCAAAGACACAGGCCTAATATTGATGATTGGAAGAAAGAGGAGCTAATGCTGTTTTTGCAAGAAGCAGTGAGAAGGAAGATTCAAGTCATGAAGTTAAGGATCCTGACATTTGAAAGATATTGGGAAGGAAGAGGTGCAAGGAAGAAGAAGAAGAAGAAGCAAAAGATCTGGGCTGTCTCCTACCGACCACCTTGAGGGCAAGGTGGATGTTTAGGGGGGGAGTATTGATAGAGACCTACTTATTAGAATAATATTAGAAGTAATAATAATAATATTAGTAATAAGGGTCTCTAGTATAAATAGATGGGAAGGGGAAGTAGTAAGGGGTTTTTGGATTCTTTTGGACTGGGACTGGGAAAGATTAGAAAGTTATTCTCTTCTCTTTTGGGAGGCTTCGGCCTTAGTTACTGTGCTTCTCTGTGTAACCGATCTTCTTCATCAAATAAGAATTCAGTTTGGTTTTCTTGTTAATCTACTGTAATTGTTCTGTACTGGTGAGGTCTCTAACATCGACCTTCCTCATTTATGCCGATTGTTCCGCTGTATCAATTTGCGTGACTTCGCTAACTCTTTCCGCCTCTTTTCGCGACTCCTCTCTGGTTCGTTTTCCCAGCTTTCCCAACTACTTTCCATCATTCCATAATCAAGTTCCTCCATGAGCGATATCCAATCTTTACTCTTTACTCTTTTGACGGCCATGATTAGGTGCAAGAACGATGCTCTGATACCAAGATACCTAACAATGGAGTTGTTCGTATAACAGAAAGTATAGAGAGAGAAATACAAAGGCAGTTTAAGAGTGCCAACTCTCCAAGTCCCAAAGCCCAAATGATAATTCCCACCTCCTTTCTATTCTACCCTCACCCTCTAGTTATACTAACTATTCTAATATTATTATTACTCTTATTTATTATTATTATTATCAGTGCTATTCTGCCGGAGTCCTATCAGTCATTACCTCCCTTTTCATTTGCCAACCATAACATCAATCAATTTATTTGAAACATTCCAAGCTATATTCAAATTTGTCCAATATCTGTCCCCAAGGAAAAACTAAAATCTGATATTGTTGGCATTTGTTTATTGTGAATTTAAAATGTACAAGTTACAAAACTTATACTATTCTCCGTTTCTTTTAGTTGTAATATGGATAATTTTACACTATTCACATGTTCGACTTTGACTACATTTCATTTATTAATGTATGTGAATTATTATTTTTTGGAAAATATTGTTGAATTTGTCTCATTACAAATTTTCATAATCTTATTTTTTAAATTTTCTTACTAATAGATAATTAAATATAGTGACGGTCAAAGTTGCGAGTTGGCAAGCGTAAAAATGGGAATGTTGCAACTAAAAAAGAACTGAGGATTCTCACCTTAGCAGACTAAAGAACAGTGGGGATTATCACCCCTCAAAAAATGGACCGACACATTGGCATGCTCCATATATTGTCTGGTTGCAGCCTATAAGTGCAAATTTATAAAGCGTTTGGATATTTCAAAATATTACTACGTATTTTCTACAAATCACAAAGAGAAAAAAGTCTCAGGTATTGACTGTTGGATAATATGTAGAGTAATCTCTTGTACTGACAAGGCAAGTTCATTAATGTACATCCGTTCGTTTCTCTTTAGGTTGGCCAGAGAGGCTGGCCTTGATTATGTCGAGATTCAAAACTTGACTGATTTTTATGATGATTATAGGTATGCATTTACCTCAACCTAAATACCCAGTGCCCCAATGTGCTTATTCATGTTTCTTCGCTAATGTTTTTCCAGTCATTTGTTATAGGTTATAAACTTCTGAGCTATTCTTTGATGTCATCTTTATATCCTTTGTTTACCATCTCACAGAGCACAGTTTGTAGGAATGCTACAAGATGCCAACCATAATATCACTGATTCTAGGGGCAGACTTCTCCCTAGAGCTTATGATGTTCTTGGTGACCCTCTTCATGTGGTTGATTGTATAATATTTCAAATTCATGGGTTAACTGGCTCATATGATTTCACAAACTCATCGGTTCAACTTGAACCTATTAATTGCAGGACTGTTCACGACGTTTATATTTCAAAAACCTGATCCGGACGTTGTTCCACCTCTGATGACTCCATTTTTAGTGAACAGAATTTACAATGATGATGAGGTAAGTCAATACGATAGAACACCTCTGGTCATGGTTTACATGCCTACAGATAAATATTTGTACATTTGTTTGGATACTCTAAATTACGGGTGTTTGTCGTTTCGGTTCTTAGTTGGACAATTTTTAAAAAAGTGAAACTGAGAATCAAATTGCACAACTTTAGTTGGTTTCGATTCGGTTAATTTGGTCCGTTTGTATCAATTTCGGTCTATTTTAGCACGTTATGGTCGGAATTTGTTAGTCGGTTTCGGATGGGTTGGTTTATAACCTCAAAGTATAAATAGTAAACCGAATCACCGATAGGTTAGTCGATTTCAATTTCACTCCGTTGGGTTTAGATCACTTCGGTTTCTGTCGGTTCCAGAGTTTCAATTTTTTTTGTTTACCCCCCCCCCCCACCTTCAATTCCGTTCTTCTCTCTTTCTGTATACTACAACTTAAAACCATCGAGATTATTCTCACGTGCTTTCTCTCCCCTTAATTTCGACTGCCTCGAAAGATCTTCCTGTAAGAGACTTAGAGACCCAACATTCCATGCCTCAAAACGCAATCTAGGACTCCACCTTCTATTCTTAATCCTACCTCAAACCCCACCATGCCCTTGCATATTTGACATCATCCTCGGGCAATGGGATGATGCACCGCTTCCGGGCGATGTCCTAACAACCTTAGCATTCTTATCACCACACCTAAGCATATGTGCGCCCTTGCATATTTGACACCACCCCAAGATGGAGGGATGACTCATCACTTACGGGCGACGACCTAGCTGTAGCGATATTCATATTTCGATTCATGTCATGTCATGTGACTAAGTGATACTGTTGGCCATCACGCGCCTACCATATCACTCTCTTTTATACTGACTTGGGACATGCATGATAGCAAAAATGATCTCAGGCTAGTGTTCTAAAACGCCTCAAAAAGCGCCGCAAATGCGGGCCTAGGCGCAAGGCAGGAGCAATACGCCTCGCATATCCCATATGCGTGACAAAAGGCGGGATGGCCCATAAAAAGGTATGCTCAAGCCCAAAACATAGCGGGCTGAGTACTAATAGGCTTAACACACATAAGTGACATGCTCATTCACCTATTCGTACACAAGCGGGTGTCTAGTATATACAACGTGTTGAAAGGAGGGATGTTTCCTCTCTAAAAGCGATATTCTTAACAACTCTGGCTGCACCACATATTTTTAGTGTGGCACTGGCATTTCATTAAATACATTTCAATTCTTATTCTATTACTATTATACGTAGTATATTCAAGTAAAATGATCAATACATTTTAATATAGCTATTATCATATACGGATCAAGAACTATAATATTTTTTTTGGCAAATAATATTTACTATTATTATACAATCATTATCGATATCATTGAACTATTCTTACCTGCTTTAAACTTCTGTATACTATGCGTATAAAATATGTGTTGCTTTTTGAAATATAGAAGTTTGTTGTGCTAGAAATGTAATAGTATTACCATTTGCAAAATATATTCTAAGATTACAATTATATATGAGATTTATCAGAATTATTTCTGAAATTTATTTACAAAAATATAACTAAAAATTAAAATAGTATAGTGTCATACTGTCATGGTCACCCAAGTTTAAAAATTGAACATAAGTTAGTGTGACTAAAGCAATATTCACTACACTTAAAGTGTCACATTTTTCTAAACTATCTTTATTTTAGTCATAAATATGTAATCATTTCATTATATATCTAACATTTTTAGAGAAATTAAAATAATAATCAGTAAAAATTGAAACACCTTTTGGCGCCTAAGCCTTGCTTCGAAGGCTTAAGGCTCGATTGTGCCGCCTCTTTACGCCTCACGCCTTTTAGAACATTGTCTCAGGCGGAGTTAGTATAATAATAAAAATAATAATAATAATACTAATAATAGTAATAATAATAATAATAATAATAACAATAATAACAATAATAAAATTAATAACAATAACAACAACAACAATAATAATAATAATAATAAAAAGTAATAATAATAATATTAATAATAGGAGCCATCATCATCACCACCGCCCGCGCCGCCGCCGCTGCGGCCTCACCACCACCAGGCAGTCTAGTCTGTTCATTTTCACATGCCACTTGCTTAATAATTGAGTGAAAAACCACATTTTTCTGTTTTAATTAATGTTTGTGGTACAGTTTTAATTACTTTGTTTAATGTTATGAAATCTCTAATTCTGTTTTATTATAGTACCAAAACATAAGGTACATTGTACCGAACGTGTACCTAAATGAACCTACCCCCCTTCGAACCGGATACACTAGACTTAGCGAACCACATTCCTGATCCTCGTTCTCGAACCGAAGCGTTCCTCGAACTATGTGACTATGGGTGTACCACATGCACAGTTGTTTGCAGCAGCACCAAAAACACGAACATAGTTGTAATCAGATTTTAACTCTTCTCCCTTCTTGATGTCTATACTGCAAAAAGCTAAATGCAAACTTCTCCATTTACCATCCACTTTTCTGTATGGCAGTTAGGATCACAACTGTGGTTTGTAAAGCGTCCCACGTTCCCTTTAGCACATGCATAAATTACCTGACTACCATTGATTGACATGAAGCAGGAATGCTTGTGAGTTGTGACCTTCACTGCATACTCATTTTGCCATGCTTCATAGGCATACACATCAAGCACCTCTCCAACATATTCGATGATAAAGCACTCTTCAAATACATCTTCAAGATTTTGCATCCCATAACCCTTTTGCCACATTTATACGACTTCAAGTTAGCATACTTCCATCTCCCAATCAAATCCACGTTTTCCACTTCGGATTTCGATAATGATATCTGCCATGATGGGGGATGCTGCCTGTTCTGCATTACCTCACTAAGAAAGGCATTGTAGGGTTGCCAACCCGATTTTTTCTTCATGTTGTTTAGATAGGGCCTGTGGTAGGCGTGTGACGGCCAACAATATCACTTAGTCACATCACATGACATGAATCGAAATATGAAAATCGCTAATGCTAGGTCGTCACCCGTAAGTGACGCGTCATCCCTCCGCCTGAGGGTGGTGTCAAATATGCAAGGGCGCGCTACACTTGATAGACCTGGGTGTGGTGATAAGAATGCTAAGGTTGCTAGGTCGCCGCCCAGAAGCGGCGCGTCATCGCATTGCCCGGGGATGATGTCAAATATGCAAGGGCATGGTGGGGTCCGAGATGGGGCTAAGAACAGAAGGTGGAATGCTAGATTGCGTTTTGGGACATGGAATGTTGGGTCTCTTACAGGGAAATCTTCCGAGGTAGTCGAGGTTATGAGCAGAAGGAATATCAGCATTATGTGTGTGCAAGAAACTAAATGGGTTGGACAGAAAGCACGCGAGATTAATCCCGGAGGTTTTAAGTTGTGGTATTCGGGGAGAGATAAGACTAGAAATGGGGTAGGCATTATTGTGGCGCGTGACTATGTTGAGGATGTGGTAGAAGTCTTCAGGAAAAACGATCGCATCATGAGCATTAAATGGTGATAAGAGGTGAGATTGTGTCTGTGGTAAGTGCCTATGCACCACAAGTGGGATTGGATGCATCTACAACTCAACAGTTCTGGGAAGATCTTGAAGACGTGGTGCGACGAGTGCCAAGGGGAGAGAAGTTGATCATAGGAGGTGACCTCAACGGGCATGTGGGCTCGAGTCGTGATGGCTTTGAGAATATTCATGGCGGACATGGTTTTGGCACTAGGAATGAGGCGGGAAAGAACATTTTGGATTTTGCCTTGACGTATGAGTTGGCTATAATGAACACTTGGTTTAAGAAAAGAGACTCTCACCTTGTAACCTATAAAAGTGGAGCTAATAGTACCCAAATTGACTACTTCTTAGTACGGACCACTGGGAGAACTAGCTACACTGATTGTAAGGTTATTCCAGGTGAGAGTGTTGTCACTCAGCATAGGATGCTTGTGCTTGACTTTCGAGGTAAGAACCATAGAAGACAAGTTAAACAACAAGTGGAGCCAAAGATAAAGTGGTGGAGGCTAGAGGGAGATCTTCAACAAAGCTTTACACACAAAATGGTCGGTGAAGATGTATGGCGTATTGATAATGAAACACAGGTGAATGATGTGTGGTTATCAATGGAGTTGACCATTAACAAAGTGGCAAAGGAGGTACTTGGAGAATCTAAAGGATGTCGACCACCTAAAAAGGACACATCTTGGTGGAATGATGAGGTGAAACAAGCCATAAGGAACAAAAGAGATTGCTACAAAAAGTTGGGGACAAATTGGAGTGATGAGAACATAGAAGCATACATGGAGGCTAAAAGACAAGCAAAGAAAGCCGTAAGGGAAGCACGAGGGAAAGTGAACAAGGAGTTGTATGAAAAGTTGGACTCTAAGGAAGGAGAACTAGATATTTATAGACTTGCTCGTCTTCATGATCGCAGAACTCAAGATATTGCAAAAGTTAAGTGTGTGAAGGATGTTGATCAGAGGATATTAATGGATGACGGAGAGATAAAAGAGAGGTGGAGGTCATACTTTGATACACTATTCAACGGGAACAAAACGCAAGATATCGGCGATTTGTCCATACCAGATTGTATGGTAAACCATGATTTTGTGAGAAGGATCCAAACAACGGAAGTTAAAGAAGCTCTGAGGAAGATGGGACGGAAAAGAGCAATGGGGCCAGATGGCATACCGATCGAGGCTTGGAGAAGTTTGGGAGAGACAGGCGTCGAGTGGTTAACAAGTTTCTTCAACATGATTTGGAGAAACAACAAGATGCCAACAAGTTGGAGGAAGAGTACTCTTATCCCTTTATTTAAGAATAAAGGTGATGTACAAGAATGTGCCAACTATCGAGGGATTAAGCTTATGAGTCACACCATGAAACTTTGGGAGCGAGTGATTGAGCAAAGACTTCGAAGGACTGTGAAGATTTCAGAGAATCAATTCGGTTTTATGCCTGGTCGCTCAACAACTGAGGCTATTCACCTTATTCGTCAACTTATGGAGAAGTATAGAGATGCTCATAAGGATCTGCATTTGGTGTTCATTGACTTAGAAAAGGCATATGATAGGGTACCTCGAGAAGTTCTTTGGTGGGCCTTAACTAGGAAAGGCATATCACGCAAGTATATCAGCATCATCATGAATATGTATTAGGATTGTACTACAAGTGTTCGTACTAGTGTAGGGAGGACTGAAGAGTTCCCTATTACTATCGGAGTGCACCAAGGATCGGCCTTGAGTCCTTTCTTATTTGCCAGTCATGGATGAACTTACGAAGTCAATTCAAGACGATATACCGTGGTGCATGATGTTTGCCGACGATATTGTATTGATTGATGAGACGCAATCAGGTCTTAAAGCAAAGTTGGAAGTATGGCGACAAACATTGGAGAATAAGGGTTTCAAACTAAGTCGGAGCAAGACAGAGTACATGGAGTGCAAGTTTGGTGGAGGTAGAAGTAGTGGTAATAGCGGAATTACTCTGGATGGTAAGGAGATACCAGTCAGCGATATGTTCCGTTACTTGGGCTCCATAATTCAGAAGGACGGTGAGTTAGATGGAGATGTATCCCATAGAATCAGAACAGGGTGGATGAAGTGGAAGAGTGCGTCAGGAGTTCTATGCGACTGAGGTATGCCGACTAGACTGAAGGGTAAATTTTATAGGACAACAATTAGGCCTGCATTACTGTATGGCATAGAGTGTTGGGCGGTGAAACAATGTCACATTCAAAAGATGAGTGTGACAGAGATGCGCATGCTGCGTTGGATGTGTGGGCATACTAGGAAGGACCGCGTGAGGAATGTGACAATCAGACAAAGGGTGGGAGTAGCACCTATTGAAGACAAGATGCGGGAGTCGCGCCTACGGTGGTTTGGTCATGTGCGTAGAAGACCGAGTGATGCACCTGTTAGGCGAGTTGAGATGTGTGGAGAAGAGGCAGGGAAGAGAGGGAGAGGAAGACCCAAACAGACGTGGGTTAGGGGAGTTCGAAGTGATATGCTTCTTCTGGGGTTGGATGAGGGCATGACTTTGGAGAGAACTAAGTGGAGGGCGGGTATTCACGTGAAGGAGTGATCTTGATAATCTTTTTCCCTCATCTTTTTTTTTCCTAGTTTTTTTTATCCTTATATATATGCATTATTTGCAGCCTTTTTATTTTATCATTTTTATATATATTCATCTTTTTTATATTATCTTTTCATAATAGCTTATCTTTTTATCTTTATTCCTTCTTTTCCTTTTGGTTGTGATATCATGTATCGATTCATGTTAGCCGACCCCAATATCTTTTGGGACTAAGGCTTGGATGTTGTTGTTGTTGTTGTTTAGATAGGGCATCCACGACGGTGTTGAGACAGTCGGGCTTGTACTCCACCCGAAAATTGAAGCCCATCAATTTACTGAACCAATGCTATTGTGGGGAAGTGGTTAATTGCTTTATCAGTAAATGCTTCAAATTAAAGTGATTTGTCCGGATTAAAATTTACGAGCCCCATAAATAGGGTCGTCAATGAGTCACGGCCTTGGCTAAGCCAAGAAACTCCATTTCGTTGTAAATAGCTGCAAGATTAACACGTTGAACAACACTTTTTGACTAAAGTATGCCTTTCCTGCCGTAAGACTGATCTAAGGATGTTTTTAATTGGACGATTGTTTTTTGGTTTGGTTTGGTTTGTTTAAGTCTGGTCTTGTCGGGTGCATGTCTGATTTATGTGTATTTTGTAATTGTCGAAGTCTGGTCTTGTCTGAATAAGTCTAGTATGGTCTGTTAAGTCTGGTCTGATCTGGGACCAAGTAAAAACATCCTAAAGTCGTAAAAACATCCTAAAGCCTGATCCATGTGTATCACAACCTACAATGAATTCGTTATCAAAATTCGGCAGTGGGATTACTGGGCTGAGGATAGTCCTATCCAAGGAACCGAAGTCTTGAGGTGCACTCAAGGTGCTAGAGTACTTCCATCGCCTGAGGTGCAAGGCGCAAAAAGCGCTCGTATGACTCATGTCAAACGCATTGCTTAAAAAGTATCACATATACTATTCTACAATTATCAAATATAATGTATATAGCATCAAATTGAACCAACTGCCTTTAAAATCCATGTTTGTAAAAAATAAAGTCATGATTCAACAAAATAAAGTCTTGTTTTACAAAAAGAAAACAACTGAATTGAGAATTCATAATGTAAAGAAAAAGGAGAAATAGAATTAGACCGGTAGTACTATTGTGTAACAGAAAAAATTAAATCAACGAGGTAAACCGTTGCTCAGATAATTAACGATAAAAATACCGTTGCCCCAGAGCCAAAAGGCAAAAACCAATTTTATTCCAAGATAAGATAGAATGAACCCTGGCAAGGGGTATAAATAGCCTTCTAAGAGAAACCCTAATCAAGCCCAAATTAATTAAATTCTAATTAAGCCCATAATAACTCTACTAAGTACTCTACTAATAGTAGGCCCAAAGTCAAACATAACATTAACTTAATAATAATACTCCCTTCGGTCCTTATTAAACTTTACAGTTTGACTTCACACATATTAAGGAATAAACTTGACTTTACTGTAGAGTACACTGTTTGGCACTGTTTGGCACTGTTTTGCACTGTTTGGTGTAGATTTTTTTGCCAAATAAGGCATATAAGGAAGTGTAAAGTTTAATATGGGACGACCCAAAAAGGAAAGTGTAAAGTTAATTAAGGACCAGAGGGAGTAATAAATAAAATCTAATGACAGCCCTAACCCGGCCCACGGAAGTGGGCCCAAGCCCTCTCCCACTCCATGCTTTGCCCGCTCTCTATCAAGTACACACCCGCACATACACGTATATTAAATAATAAAAGTGAAATAAAAAGAAGAAATAGAGTTACACATGATAGACGGGTAGTATACACACATATATATGTACACACACATGTTTGAGTTGTACGTCCACACCCAGCCACAAGTCCTATTGATCTTGTGTTAATCACTCACCGTTGTAAGTCTTATTGATCTTCTGTTGATAACTACACGCCGACTGCCAACCTTGAAAAGAATGCCCTGTTCACTTTCCTCCAAGACACATCAACACTATTGATTAGTAGACCTTGGTAGTATTTGTAGTTATTCGTGTTAATTTTCATATTAATGAGAATAAACTTGTGGCTCCAATTATCTTCAATGGAGTAAAGCTATCAAACATTATTTACGGAGTATTGATAAATACAATCACTCTGTTGATGAAATGCCAAAAGAGCAGATTGATAAAGTTGCTCCGTGATGACTATATAATTTATCCAAATTCAAAATTCAATGGGGAAGGAGGAAACGAGTATGCTAGTCATTCAGTCATTGTGATACTGATAGAGATGGTTATATTTCTTTGCGTTACGACCGCATCATCCCATATCTGGAAAAAGCATTTTACATTTTTTTGGAAAACAGATTTCATGTTTCTATTCCATAGATACATGAACCAGAGACTGGAGGGGGTAGAACATTTAAATGCTGTCTTAAAGCTACAGTGGTAGTGGTGGAGTTGACACTGAATAAGGTTTTTGTTTGCAGATGTTTCGATATTCTTTTCTGTTGGTCTTTGCTGTGTATCAAATTTCTCTCGTTAAGTTAGATTTTTGTTTATCAATTTCTGTGGTGCATTACAGTCGGTTTCCTCTTTGTAGATGACACACATGGATTCACAAGGGCTGGGGTGGCGAGATGATGAGAGGAATGGACAGCCCGATTCATCTCAGGGGTTGGGAAAGATAACGGAGCAAAAGGGGATATTAGGTCCGGGCCCCGCAGAATTGCGTTTCCCTGAGGCACTTTGACCCGAGAAACATCAATGGGGCACTCATTGTTGTACAGTTTAGTAGTTTTCAACCATGACATACATGTGTCAGTGTGTCATTGTTGTACAGTTTTTTGGCTTATGAGACTTACCACCCAAATTTTTACCAATCATATAGTGGCTTAATTAGTTGAAATTCTTTGGCTTATCAGCCTTACCCGCCAATTTTTTGCCAAACATATAGTGATTTAATTAATTGAAATTAGTGTAAAGGACTAATTTAACTCTTTTTAATATAATTTTTTCTTTGTTCTGTTACTAAAATACATACTCCCTCCGTCCCTTAAAGGTTTGCCAAGTTTGACCGTCATGTAGAATAATAAAGTAAAAACTGTGGTAGACATTTGTGCAGAGGAGAGAGAAATGACATGAGCCACAAATTGATTGATTAAAATGGAAAGTGGCAAAGTTTTTGGGACAACCAAAAAAGGAAAGTTGGCAAAGTTATAAGGGACGGAGCGAGTAGTATATTTTAAATATTTTTTTTTATAATTATGTAGAATTAATCAATTCAGCCATTTCAGTCATAAACCATAACTTCTTAAATTTTAACATAGTAAATAAATTGATTCATCCAATTACAGTGTCAATAAACGGGCTATTATTATCTTTCTTATTTTCATTATTATGCAATATCATTTCAATTTTCAAAACATACTTCCTTAACTATTATACTCTCCTAAATTTGTAAGAGATACTTTCCCTTTCTATTTGTCCAAAACATATCCCAATTTACACCGTGTGCATGGTATGCCGGTCCAAATACGACATCGTTTTTGCTCTGTTTTTCTTTAGAGTACTATCTCTTTTCTTTTCCTTCGAGACTTAAGCTTCCAGGTCTTTTTTGGAGCACTATCTCTTTATTTTTATTTTTTGTTTTCTTCAATTATTCTCTTCTCTCCATCTAAATATTAAAAATTAATTTCGATTTTTCTTATATTCATCTTTAACTAATTAAATTGTAACCGAAAAAACTTTTTTTCTTTATAAATTTATTACAAATTTTTCTTAATCCACATAAAATAAGTACAATACATTAATAATCATACATTACTTTTGCCAAAAAAAATAATCATACACTACTTTTTCACTTTTTTTCTTCAATTGAAATTACTACCGAATTTATAGTTTTTAGAGGTTTTATAGACATTGAGTTTGTTTATTTTGATTCTTGAAGTTACATTTGATAATATATCATGAAATTACATGTTCTTCTTAATGAGTTACATCTTAATATACGCGAGTTGCATCTTAATATATGTGAGTTACACCATGGAATAAACTCCAGCTATATCATTTTTATTGCCCTAATATTAAAAATAAAACATATTCACTATTTATAAAAAAGTAATTAAACTATTAGGATCAATTTCTCATTGTTTACATTGAAATATATCTCAAACACATAAAAAAATCATTGTTCAATTTTCCAACAAGTTACATTCTGTATACACCCAAGTTATTTTTTACGACCATGATATTAAAAACAAAACATATTCATGTTTTACCTAAAACAATTGTGCAATTAGACTCTTTTTTTCATTGTTTACATTGAAATCAATATTTGACAAGTTACATTTTGGATGGGCTTGAGTTACATTGATCAATAACGCGAGTTACATATCTTTACACACGAGTTACATCAAAAAAATCAACCCCTACTGTTGAAACAAAAAAGTGATCTTTTTTAAAATCCTTTTGATGGTCATGATATTAAAAAAAACATATTCACGATTTAAGTAAAGTAGTTATGGATTTAGACTCTTTTTTTATTTTTTTACATTTTTCATAATGCGAGTGACACCACGATGAGTTACATTTGAATGCATTGTATTTACATTTAAAAGTAGCGCGAGTTACATACCAAAACAAAGAATTTACATCACGAAAAAAATTGATACAAATGTAAGGGTACTGTTTACGCGAATTTTACCCCTGGGAGTACGGTGCTCACCGTGCACCGGTTGCACGGTATACGAACTGAAAAAATATTAACAATTTCCGAAGTGAATATCAACGATCTTTTACTTTTCCTTTGTCCATTTATATATTATGACATATTGTACCTTTTGCAGGATATAATTATAAAATAATCATTTTATCCTTATTTTTAGGTTTAGATATGTTTTTAGCCCATGTAAATGTAATACGGAGTACATTTTGTTTTACATTCTTGCATTTGTTTTTTGTTTTTCATCCTTAGAGTTTAGGGTTTAGTCCATTATTAATAATAACAACCTAACAAATACTATGTAGATTTTTTCTAACTTTTTGTCATGTTATTCAAAAAGTATTTAATTTTTTATTTTTAAGAAGGTTATTAATATACTACCTCCGTCCCACTTTAGTTAGCCATATTTAACTTTTGCAGTCAAAATGGTAAATTTTGATTAATTATTTTAAATAATATACTTATGTAAAATTTAATAGTTTTATAGTATTTTTTACAAAGATCATTTTCATATCATCAATTTTTTTGTATTTAAATTTATAATCTGTCAAATTTTGACATTATTGACATGAAAAGTCAAATTGGGCTAACTAGAACGGGACATACAACGTATATTTTTAAAATGTGAGTAAATAGTTTTACATTATTTTAACTCTTATATTAGTTTTAAAAATTATAAAAGAATAATTTAAATGTTTCTAATAGATTTATCCAATTTTCAATAACTTTTTTCTAAATAAAGTGGCTTCGGAGTTTGAGATGGACTAAAAATAAAATAGTGCATGTTATACGGATGAAAAAGAAATATTTTGCATGAACCTAAAACATAGCGTGTCATATATTTGCAAGGTGAAAGATGTACTTAAACCTTTTTTAAAATTTGCTCTAAATTTACATGTGTTTTTCATTGTGGTGGAGAGAGAGTATTTTTTTGCACAACACAGCTCATTCCAAGGATCACAACGCAATAGCAGAACCAGTTTTGTTTATTTAATTGTAAGTAGTTTCAAAAATGAGTTGATAATATTAGTAACAAAAATGGTTTTTAATTCGAAAAATGTACAAATATATCTCTGAAGTATAGGTGCGAGAACAAATATATAATGATTCCATTTTTACAATAAACATATCTCTGAAGTTTATGTGAAAGTGCATATATAGCCTTGAACTTTTAAAAATTGCAAAAATAACCTTCATATTTCTATAAAAGAGCAAATTTACTCTTATTGTCTTTAAATAAATAAAATAAATTTTAAAAAACACCAAAAATAAATTATAAATTCGAAATTGAAAAATTAAAAAGAATTACAACAATAACAACATTCAAGCCTTAGTCCCAAAAGATTTTGGGGTCGGCTAACATGAATCGATACAAGATATCGCCACCAAAAGAAAAGGAAAGAAAAGAAAGATAAATAGATAATATTAAAAGAGATGCATATAAATTAATAAAGATAGAATGAAAGGGATAAAAGTATATTTAATTATTTATATATATATATATATAAAAGGATAAAAAACAAGAAAAAGAAGATGAGGAAGAAAAGATATAAGAGATCTCCACCACACAAATGTTCGCCTTCCACTCGCCCTCCAGTTTGCTCTATCCAATGTCATACCCTCATCCAACCCAAGAAGAAGCATGATTTTTTTCAAAAAGAATTTAAAAAAAAATTATAGTGCAAAGAGAAATACAGATTTATTTTTAATGTTAAAATATTAACTCTTTAATTAATTTTAAATTGCAAGATTATTGTTTTTCTGATGTAAATGAAACACTTCAAATTCATAAATATTAATTTTATCTTGTAGCGAAATTTTAAACACATTGTTACATTTTTTCACACATGTTTTTGTTTTCCAAAAGAATCATGCAACACAAAAGTTAATGATTTTATAGTGCAAAGAATAGATATGTTTTCCGAAAGAATCTTAAATATATAGTAACGTTTTGAAATAATATATTATACTAACAATATTAAATTGTGATATAAAAATAGTAAAAGAGAGAATCGAGCGCAAGTAGATTATTAATTTTTTAATTTTATAATTTAAAATTTATAATTTTTTTTTGTTATTTTTGATTTTTTGTTTTTGTTTTTCATCCTTGAAATTTATGTAGTTTTCTTTTTGAGCCATAACCAATAATAACAACCCAACTAATAGGTTTTCTCTAATTCTTTGTCATGTTATTCAAAAAGTATTTATTTTTTATTTTTTAGAAGGTTATTAATATACTACCTCCGTCCCACTTTAGTTAGCTAGTCATATTTAACTTTTGCAGTCAAAGATGACAAATTTTGATCAATTATTTTAACTAATATATTTATGCAAAATTTAATAATTTTGTATGTTTATAATAATATTTTTAACAAAGAACATTTTCATATCATCAATATTTTTGCATTAAAAATTTATAATAGGTCAAAGTTTGACACCATTGACTTGAAAAGTCAAGTTTGACTAACTAAAATGAGACATATGGAGTATATTTTTAAAGTGTGAGTAAATAGTTTTAAATTGTTTTAACTCTCATATTAGTTTACATTGCAACACATATGCAATTAACACTTTTTCGATAGAATGTGTTATAGGAATTTGCTCCTTTATAGGAACATGAGCGGTATTTTGTACATTTTAAAAGTTCAGGGATATACTCCCTCCGGTTCTAAATAATCTTTACACTGTCCTTTCTGAGCAGGTTAAAATTAATCTTCACATTTTCATTTTAGGAAAGTTTTTTATTTATAGTACCCATTATGTCCCTAAGCATTTACCCCTTGTTCCGCCCACCCCTCTGACTTTTATCCGCCTTATACAATCCTCTCTCGAACCTTCTCTATGTGTTCTTCATCTCTATGTCTTCCATCGGCCTCCACCGCCCGCAACTTCCTTCTCCTCACTTGTACTGTCACGCCCCGGCTGGCCGGACACGCTAACAACCGCCGCACAATCCGATTAAGGCAACCGCAATCTACCTCTCTCGAACCATGCAAGGCGTACATGAATACCATTCACACAAGTACATCCATAAACAATCATAAATAAAGCATTTCAAAATACGCAGCGGAAAACAAATACATTTTTGTAGTCAAAGGCCACACAGGGCAAACATGAGCACGCAGGCTCCCAAATCATTTATAGTTTAAAAATAGTTTCCATGAGCATCATTTTATTGATATCAAAATAGAACTGGAAGCCACGTCTTCTCTTCATAGATCACCCGGAGCAACGGGAACATGAAGCAAGCTCTAGCTTCTACCTGAA